TGAAGGACAGAATCTGAAGCAACGGCTGAGTGAAGCAATAGCCCCAATGAAAGATTTAACAGCGGAATACTTTTGCAGCGAGATGGATGTGGTCTACAGGTCCTATTCATTGTACATCAAGAAAAATAATCTGCCTGGGGAAATAGTGGTCAGATTCTCGAAGAGACACGTGAGAGATGCTATTTTGAAAGCAAATTCGGGAACACCCTTGAAAATTGGGGGCAATAATATCAGGATTTTAAAAGATATTTCATTTGATATAAGACAGAAGAGAAAGAACAATAAAGAATTAATCCTTTTCTTACAAACAAATGGCATCAGTTAAAGGTGGTTAACCCCAGAAGGTGTCATTTTCAAGATTAACGATAAAAAAGAAAAGATTGACTGCTTTTAGAGCACGTGAATTTCTGCAGACACAGCTTGGGGAACCAGAAGAGGGCAAAGAGGAGGAAAAAGAAAGCAAAACTGATGGTGAGTTGGGCTCGGGGTCTTCGGACAAGGACTCCCCCTCTGAAAAGGGGGCGGTTGCCCCCAAAAGCCCTTATAAACTGAGGATTAGAAAAGATAAGAATAAATAAGGGCTGAAGGACTCTGATTTGTGCCTGAAAAAATGTTGAAATAACTTGGGGATGCTCTGGGAATTTCTTTAAACAGTTAAAGGGATGGTTAAACGATAATCTAGCATAACTGACTAACTTCATTGTATTATTAGTAGCTTTTTGAAAATAGCATGGTGTTAAGATGATGTATGATCTCCTACTCTTGGGTTTTTAGTTAGTTGTGGGTCTTTTTTCTTTATTCCCTAGATGTAGTTCCCTTTCCTATATGTTCTGTTGTAGTTTTGTAATCTGAAAAAAACCCAATAAAACCTCCCCCCAGGGGGATGGAAAAAAAGAAATGCTCTGAACACTCTGCTCTAGAGAGTTGCTCTCTGTTGTAACAGTAGCAAGTCACCCATTGAACTGCAATCAAAGCCAGATATGAAAAGGGTTTTCAAAATAGGTTCTGTTTAAAATACCACTTTCCAAAAGACTAATCTAAACCCCAGCCTTATCAAACACATTGGCTCAGATTATCAAAAATTTCAAATGGAATTTCACATTCTGTTAGAAAAAGCCCTCCTTTAGAAAAGAACACATACCCTTTCAGTTCCATGGCTGTAAAATATAAGCAATTAACAAGATTTTCTGAATCATAAAATATTTAATAAGGTATATGGGGAGGAGGAATATACTGTATATAAAATTTAAGATCACAATATGAAGCAATTTGAGCCCTCTCCAAGCTAGCACTGCTCTCAATGCTGTGTTTAGATGTATTGCCACTGATACAAGACCTACTAAAAGCAAACAGTATTACCAAATACAAAAAGTGGCTTGGTTCATATGAAATAGTTTTTACACAAGTCGAGTGTCTGGAATATCTCTCTTAAGTGCAAAAAACACAAATCACTTTACATTAACAGCAACAATGCATTCATATTGTTCTCAGTCATTAGTAGTCAACTTGCATAAGATACGAGAGCACAAGGACGCTCACCAAAATAGACTAAAAGCCTGTTCTTGCAAAAGAAAGAAAGAAATACAGCATAACGGGAGGAAACACAAACAAGGATTATGCACACCACAGAAGTTGATGTTCTGTAATCAAAGCTGGATTAAGTGCTGTATTCTGTTGGTAAAAATCAAACTGCATGGACCAGGCAAAACTAATTATTCAGGAGGCGGTGTGTAGCTAAAATTCATCCAACATGCTCTTAAAATTCCTCACAAATTGTTTTCCTCCATCTGAGGTAGTTACAAAAATTGAAACTGTAATTTGAAGCTTCAGCTGCTGTAGCCAGTCAGAGCTAAAGCCTCTATTTCTCCTGGGTACAAACTAGTTGTCATCTGTCCAAAACTACCTTCAGCATTTGAAAGACAGCTCAGAATTCAAAGTTCTTGCTACACCAAAAGATTGCTAAATGGGAAACAGAATTGGATTAGCTGTTTCACAATGTGGTCTTAAAGTGAATTTCTCTCAAGCCATCTGGTCCACTGTTGAGCTTTCCTGGCTTCTTCTCTTTTTACAGTCTATAAGTCATTAAGAGAAGAATGTGGGATGGATCACGTATCATCGTCCTTTGCTGTAACCAGGGAAGAACTGGTCAAGTAGTGTCTGCAGGATCTTGTTGGGAACCATGATGTAGCTCTTTCCAAGGTCACGTCGACAAGCAGGGCAGGTGAAGACTTCAGCTCTGAAAGAGCGCTGTAAACAGCTCTAGGACACAGAATGATAAGGCACATATGTTTATGAGGGGGCCACGGCTCAATGTTTGAGCATCTACTTGGCATGCATAAAGTCCCAGGCTCAGTCCTTGACATCTCCAGCTAAAAGGACCCAGTGACAGGTAACGTGAGACCTCCACCTGAGACCTAGGAGAACTGCCGCGGTCTGAGTAGGCAACACTGAACCTGATAGACCAATGGTCAGATTCAATATAAGGTTAAAATTAAATCACAAGAAAAGTATGCAATAGCTTTTCTCCAGAAAAACAGAAAGCATGCAGTTATTTGATAGTTCCTTTAAAAAAAAAACATGCAGCAAAACTTAACATGTATTAATCCAATGAGTTTGGTCAAAGAGAACCCAAAGTAAATAACAGAAACAAAGAAAAAACTTGGGGTCACACTGGGCATGCCACCAGCTACCAAGAAAAGACACACACCAATCCTTTGGCAATAAAGCAGCAATGTAATGGGGGAGGGGGGGAGATAACCAATTCCGTCCCATATGCTGGTTCAGAGGTCCCCTCTATGGCACCCACTGGGTGCGTTCAGATGCGCCGTTTGATCTGGTGTCATGACAGTTCAGCAACAGATTTTATATGCATGATCACAAAGTCAACATCTGCCTCCCAGCCGTTGGTTTCCGGCTCAAAAACGCTTTAACCCAGAGTATTTTGTTACCAGGTTCCAAAGTGGTGTTTTCTCAACTCTCCCATTTAAAGCCTCATTTTCCTCCGGTGTCAAGCCAATTCCGGTTTAAACCCCCTCCCCGCTCGAAAGCTGCCTGAGGCTTCCACTTTTCACCTGCCTTTTTTTTAGCATTGGAGGTGCGCACATAGGTGGAGCTCCGCTACTGTGTTTAGAAAACCGACATTTAAATGGTCACTTGTTTTAGAGTTTAGATGAGTTCGGGATCTCACGGAGACCATTTTTGGATCGAACGTTTAAAGGGAAGTCTTTTGTTGGAGGGGTTGGATTGATTCGTCTTGGTAGTTTTGCCCCCCCCCCATTCTACGGATGAGCGCCTATGCACATGCGCAAACTGAGAAAAAATTTTAAAACCCGCCAACACACACTCCCGCGCGTCGGTAGTGTAGACGCCGGGGAGCGACATGACTGCGCAGTGAGGCGGGATAAGGGAGGTAAGTGTGATCACGATTATCCAGATCAAATATAATCCGGTTAGAACCGGAGCAGTTTAACCCGCTCTCAGCACACCGTCTGACTGAGGCAACTGACACCTTCTCTGGTGCCCAGGAAGTGTTTTTAGAAAGCAGGTGAGGCTTTTGTCCAGCAAGACTTCTGACTGGCCACTGGATTGGCTGTGCAGGTTTCATAGTGGCGGCACCACAGCCCGAGGACCTTTACTGTGGTAAGCCACAGCAGCCATTGTGTGGCTGGCTCCGCCTCCTGCAGCAGCCCTTTTGTGGATACACCCCCCATGCTGTGTAAGAATTCCAAAAGATGTCAACAGGCTCAAAAAAGGCTGAGGACCCCTGTACTAGTTTGTATCTCAGTGAAATTAGAGGTAAAATGACTGCAGTGCCACAGTATACAATACCAGTTACCATGAACTCCCCTTTGTCCCCTCAATCCACGTTCAGTATTGCATAACCATCAACAGCTGGAGTTACAATGAACTCAAAACAGTCTCCCAGGTGTATTCTGCATGACAATGAGTCTTGGAAGTATTCTCTTTTCAGTTCAGTAGCGATGGGGCTTCCACATGGCCATGGTGACCTAACAAACTCCATATTCAGAGATTTACTGTCTCTAAGTTACAAATGGAAGGAGGAAACATGAGGGGAAGGCCCTGGCCCCTATACCCTGCCTTTTTGGCCAACCAGGGCAACTGTTTCAGCTACTGTGTAAATACTGGATTTGATGGACTAGTGGTCCAATGCAGCAAGGCTCTTCTTATGTTCTTATACTGGCCTGCATTTTCCTTGAAGTAGACCTCTTGCTGCTGCTACCACCCCCCACAGCACCACTATGCTGTGTGAAAGTCGGGGGGAAAGTTGCTTCCCATTAGGATTCAAGTGAGACCAAATACATAGTGTAGAAGCAACACTGAACACACTTTTGGAATACTGCTTAAATACTGTGTAGCACATCAGTAGCACATCTGATAAGAAGGATGTGTGGAAATTGGCATATAAGAAAGGATGGTCAAAGACTGGTACATGCAATCCCACTAGCCCATTTCCTAAATCCTGCTTCAATACTGTGGACTGAAAAGGTTTGGTGCAAGTCATAATTACAGATGAGTGGGTCTTCTCACAGTAGTTACTCTCAAACTGAAACAAATGCATTGTGCATACACTTCTAAGCCCTTTTGGGCCTTTGTACAGGTTCTTAGTTTGATACCTGACACAGATTAGAACAGTTTACACACTCACTGCGAGCTAAACCAATATTCTAAACATGTTTTATGAGGGCCACTGACATTTATGATCTACTAAAGGGGCCCCGCTGAAGGTTTCATCTTAGGTAGAGGCTGGAAACCAAACAGGGTTGTTGCTGTCGCAAACCTAGATTTTTGGGAAGTGCATATGCCTGCCCTCTTTTATTTTTCAATGTTGGTAACTGAGTTAAAGATTTTGCTCTGCTGTGCTGTGATTAGTTTTATTTTTGTTTCAGTTGTAGTTTTTAAAATTCACTAGATGTTTTTAAAAGTTCACCTGCTGCTTTCAAGTGTATTCAAAAGGGACAGATGGATCGTGTAAGAGTATATATTGGAATAATAATTACAGGACACAGTCCTGTCAAAGTTCAGTTGGTTTCTGTGGAAGAGTTAAGACTGTGCTCATGTCATCTCCCAGTCTGCCTTTACATTGCGTAACTAGCTAAGCCCTGCAAATAGATATTTACTTCCATGGGAGCAGATAGTATGAGTCTTATCCTAGGATGTAAGATTACATTTCCCAAATCCTTCAGAAGAACCAGGTTCAAGGGTACTTACTTTACAGACATTGTGGAGGCACTCTGTGGTCACCGGTTGGTAAACCAGCTCCTGACAGCAGACACACATAAAGGATTGTTCCAGTTTCTTCAAAAAATTCTAGTACAGAAATGAAAAATAATTCATACAATGAAATCTTAGGATGAGCACATCCAGAAAAATCAAAACAGTAGCAAAAAATGGTAGGGCACTTCCACAATAAAGAGCAGACTACCTCTCTATGTGCTTGGTTCTAAGTCTGTCAGGCAACAGACGCCTCTCTCCACCCCCATCCAGTGTTCCCTCTAAGCTGAGTTAGTGTGAGCTAGCTCACAGTTTTTTAGCCTCTGGCTCACACATTTTTGTCTTAGCTCAGGGAGGATGGCTCCAGAGCAAAATAATTTATGCAGTAGCCAAAATGCTCGCTCACAACTTTAATGCCAGTAGCTCACAAAGTAGAATTTTTGCTCACAGGACTCCAGTTTAGAGGGAGCATTGCCCCCATCCCTGACTTCTTAAAGATGTCATAAGCATACCTATGGCAGCAGAAGGCTATGCCAGTGTATCTATCCTTGCCTGTCTTCAGTGCCTGAGCTACAGTAACAAAGTGCTTTACACAAGCATGCTATTTATATTTACTACATTGAGGCAATGGACTTGGGAGGGAGAACAGCTGGATGGAGGGAAAACTAACAATATCTTCCCACACAGACCCTCTACCTTCTCCTTGGAGATAAAATCCTCCGTTTTATGTCCATGTTGGCAATTTCAGTTGTTACTACTTGTTACTTGCTTTCTCTGTTTAGTAAAGCTCATAATGACATTCACCTCTTCCAGAGGGCTTTGGTGCACCTTGGGACTCAAGTGTCCAAACACTTGACATTCGAGCTATTCTTAAGAAAGATGTCAAGCAATCTGATGACAGAAGGTTGTACCATTTACTGGCTTCACAAAATATAGTGGTTATTGAAGCGGTGGCTAAGTTCTGTAATGGTCTTATAATGAGGAAGCTGTGTGCTAAATCCATGAACTGAAGGGTGACAGTTTATGATTCTGATCTATGCCAATAAAGGTTTTGAAATTGAAATTGAAATAATCTGCATATGCAGGGAATTCACTGAAGCACATTTTATTCCTGATTGTTTTTCTTTTTTTTGTGAGGAAAGGGTTAATGTGAAACCTTAGCTGCTTCCTTGTTGTCTTTGCAAAGGGAAGAAGAGAAGACAAAGAAAAGAGGTTGGATTTATACCCTTCACTTGGAGTCTCAGAGCGGCTTACAAACTCCTTTCCCTTCCCCTCCCCACAACAGACACCCTGTGAGGTAAGTATGGCTGAGAGAGCTCTTTTGAGAACTGTGGACAAGAACTCTTGTCAGAACTATGGCTTGCCCAAGGTCATCCAGCAGCTGCAAGTGGAGGAGTGGGGAATCAAACCCGGTTCTCCCAGATTAGAGTCTGCACACTTAACCACTACACCAAACTGGGAGACATGGGTGGGTGGCAGCTTGCCATTCCAAAGGCAGCTGCGGATTCATGAGCATGGCTTCCTCGCTCTTGCACTACTGGTACCTAATGGTAAGTGAGCTGATACCACAGTAAGGCTTTGCTTTGAGTCGGGTGTCATGAAGCAGCCTGAGATACCAGCTCAGTATCTGGGTAGGATACAGGAAAGAGGCAGAGGAATTTGCAAGACAAGCCAGGTTTCAGTAACTATTGGCAGACCCAATCCTGGTTTCACAAATGAACCACAGTTAAAAATAAACCATGGTTTTGCATTACATCCCAACAAACCCTATGTCTCCTGTCGTATGTCAATAAATGTTTTTACATGTGAATCTTCTACAGCTGTTGTAAGAAAGGTTACAAATGCAGGATGTAAGTTACTCTAGAAACATACTGGCCCTTCCTTAAGATTAGCAAGAACTTCATCCCACAGCTTCTGGTTTAGAGAGTCTTCACGAATCAACCACTGCTGTTGCTGAGTCAGCTGGAAAGCTTCACCTTTCCCACCATCTCCCATCCGCCTGGATTTGGCTGGTTTTGGAGGTTCCTCTACAGCTTCTGAAAAATATTATGATCAAGCTACTGGTATTGCCTTGCAAAGAATTCTTACAATAAGAGTATCTGTATACTCCACCTGGGCAAGCTTACTGATAGAACTAGCGATAAGAGACAATCTCATTCACTTATCTCTGCACCGCTAAATAACTATAAAATCCACATTTTTAAAAAAGGCACAGAAGTAGAGTTTTTGATTGTAACATATTCACATGATGCTGCAAGATACTGCTATTCTCATTTAAGTCTTAGTTAAGGCAAAGTATGTTTATATTTTTCCTCATTTCCATGTTCCTGTTTCAAACTGCTTCCCTCACCCCAGCATTCTCTTATACTCTTTCATATATATTTTACTGTCTATCCCACAACAAATGACTTCCAGCAGCCATACCATCATCGACTGGTCTTTTTCGATTTCCATTGCTCTGTTCTGTTGGCTCTGGCTTCACAATTTGTTTTTTGACTTTATCCTTCTTTTCTTTACTAGCCATGGCTTCCAAATAGCCTTCTGGATACTAGAAGCAAAAAAAAAAAATCACATTTGAGAGATATTCTAAACAAAATTAACATTAAAAACAAGATTGTCTTGAAGTATTTTTTAAAAATCATCTTATATGAAAAGACCTGCATCCCTTGAAGGCAGGAGGAGAGCTAAAGAGCATTCACCCAATCACAATAAATACCAGTCTTAAAGCCTAAGACAAAGCTGTATCTTGTTCTTCTGTGCTTACTACTCTGAGACAGTGAGAAAGTCTTGGGAACTGCAGTCAGCTCTACAGCCTACAGAATCATTTATGGGACCTATTTAGAAATTAAAATGGTAACAAATGAAACTAGCAGCAGCCCACCCACTTCATCAATCACTTCTAACAAGTGTCTGTTCTGGATTCTAAAGATTTCCAGTGATTGAAGAAGAAACTGTAACTCATTCTGTTTTACCTATCTTCGAAACTGATCTTACAATAGGCTTGCTATATGAGACTATCAGGTGAACTTTTTCTATTGTAGACGTTAGAATGGATATTTTTTTCAGTATAATTTTGGCAAGTTCTAACCTGTAAACTCAGACCCAGTTTCTTTGACCGTTCAGTTCCTTCTGAAGTCCAAGGTGCAGGTTCAGCATCATCCCTTCTCAGAAGATAGCGCCAAACTAAGAATCCACACTTTCCAATTTCTGGCCAATATTTGACCACCTACATTACAAAAGTTCCTTTAGTTGTTTTACTTTACCTTCTACAGTCTGAGAGTTTCTATAAATTATATCTGGTTAAATCGTATCTGGTTGAATCACTTTACACATTTATTTGTAAATTATGAAAAACTGAACAAATTTTACTTCAAGATGTAAATAATGCATATCTTTTAAATTCTAAAATATTCATAACCGTTTATGGTTTATGGTTGTTTTTATGAATTATTTTAATTGTGTTTATATATGCACTTTTATGTAAGCTGCCCTGAGCCTGGCCTAGTGGGGAGGGCGGGGTATAAATTGAATAAATGAACAAATAAGCTAATAAATAAATAAGCTAGAGCTTGAGGAATTCTTCAGTTGGATCCAAGAACAAGGTAAGTGGTGAATTTAAAGTGATGAAGATGGTTCCGGTTATAGTCAGGAAACACCTCTTAAAGATGCTTCCCTTGCACCCAAGGAAGTAATACTCCGTAACAAATATCTCCTTCTTGAACAAGATGCTTGAGTCACAGCTGGTTAATTCTAGGCTTTATTGGATTACCTGAACCTTTACATTTTGGGTTCAGGCCAGATTTGGGACCTGAAATAAGCTTGATGAATGAGCTTTACCAGGCAAGATGCAGGGGGAGGGCGTTTCTTGATTTCCATGGATTTCTCAGACACTTGCAATACCGTCAACCAAGTACCCTTCTGGATTAGCTTGTACAGATGGGTATCAAACACAACACCTCAATGAACCTACCTAGTTGACTTGTGCCAAAATGCAGTGCTGGAATATAGCTGTTCAGGCCCAAGGCATTTGTGCCACCACAAGGTTATAATCTGCCCTTATAATGCTTAGTATTTTATACAAAACATTTGAGATTGTCTGGCAACAATAAACTCTACTGTTTTTTTCTCAAAAGCATCAGATGAGGCCTTGACCTGGATAGCCCAGGCAAGCCCGATCTCGGAAGCTAAGCAGGGCCAACCTTGGCAGGTATTTGGATGGGAGGCCTCCAGAGAATACCTGGGAGGCAGAGGCAGGCTATCAAGCCATTTCACTGAACGTCCTCTGTGCCCCAGCAGGAGTCGCCAGAGGTCGCCATGGCTTCCAGGCATGCACAGACACCCCAAAAAAGCATCAGGTGAGATGGTGGATACTCTGAACAAGTTCACAAGTGCAGTGGTGGGCTAATAAACTAAAAGACAAGATTGTGGTATGGTTCAGAACACAAAAGCAACCCTACTGACCATAGAACTCAGCATCCAGTTTCCACCTAGGTCTTACTGGATGATACGATACTTATTTTGTGCAACTTTCCCTTTGCCACATTACCTATTTCAGACTCCGGGAGGCCTGCTCCGCAGTGGCCATCACATGGCATAACACCCTCCCTACCACAGTGTTTTGGTACCAAATCTGTTATTACTGCCAGGCTTTCCAATTTACCAGGGCTTTTAATTGATTTAATAAAGATTTATTGGCCACTGCTTGATTTTTTAAGAAAAAGCTTCAATAAATTAATGTATTTTTATTGTTCTGATATTTTAATATGAAGTTTGGAAACTACCAGGAGCCCTGGGGAGGAGGGGGGGGGAAGAGGACTGATCAAACAAATAAACTGCTATGGCAGTTTCAGAGAAACACACAATGCAAACTACTAATTTAGTTACCAGAAAACACTGTAAGATGATCTCACCTTAGAATATGAAGTAAGATCACACAATGCCCCAAAGGGATATCTAACACAATATTATAATTCACAATTTTTTAAAAAATAAGAAATACAATGCTGCTATTTTCATTTTTAAATGAAAAGAAGAAAAATATGTACCTTGTAAATGCCATCGTATCTATTGCCTTCTTCAGGAGCATATTTGCTGATCCTTCGCCCTTTCGAGCTGCGAACCACTCGAACTGGTTTACCAGCTCTCCAGTTTTTAGACTCAGCTCCATTCTTATCATCCAGTGGGGCATCACAATTTAGGGCTAGTGCCCTGGGGGGGAAAGTATTCAGAAGTCTTCATATGATATAATGCTTCCAAAAGCATTAAAAATATGAACAGCACCCTAACAGATCAATCAATGGGCTGTCTAGTAGTCCAAAACGTCTACAGCAGCCAACAGATATTCCAAGAAAGCACAGAAGCAGGACACAGAGGCCAAAGTCTTCCTCCCTGTGTTGAGTAACTGGTATTCAAAAAAACCTGGTAAACATGAGGTTCTATGTTAGCATCTGTCAAGCTTCCAGTTTCACTTCTCTTTGCTTTGCTTCACTGCTTGCCATGAATTTGGGGGGGAGGCATGTGGGGAGAGGATGTGTTGACTGAATGCCTGCTTGTAGCCATAACTATCTTTTAAGTTGTGCCCCTTGGCCGGCTCCCATGGCCTTGGAGATTCCTTTCTTAGGCTCGCATAGATAAGCACCATATATCTGTCAGGGAGCCATGGTAATGCTAGGCCTGCCTGCTAATGTATGTGTGGGGTGTTAGGGGGTGTAGTATCTTTTACCTATAACCTCTGAGTTTTGCAAGCTTTCCTCAGTCCTGACAAAAGATTTGAAACCTGTTGTAAGCATATTTCTAATAAAATCACTGCCAAAGTGTTGTGGAGAGTGTCTTAACTGGGGATCTGACAGCATCATGCGTTGTAGCCACTGATCAACTTATCCTGTGTGATATTATGATCCTTTAAAGTCATTGTAAGGTGGCAGTGAGTCTCACAAGTTAAATATGTGTTGTATGATGAAGCCCTTTATTTTATCTGTTCTAATGTTATATTTGTGTGTGAGAAAGGAAACACTCCAGTTGATCCAAAGCATGCATAATTTTATACACCTGTATTGTTATGTGTAATCTGACAATTTGATAATTTTGGTTGCACATTTTTGCACCTTTTCCAGGTCAACAATATTCTTTTAGAGATGGAGTAACCAGAAATTGTAGACAGTATTCCAGATGAACCTGTACCAAAGATCAGTACATGGGCTCTATGATACTGGCTGTTTTAGTATCAATCTCTTTCCTTGTAATTTGTATCATGGTGATTATAAACAATATTTGGAGTTAACTTGCAATGTTCAGCTATTTCAGTTTGACTTTTACGGTCAGCTCTAATTAAAATACTGGCTTCGAACTGATACTATGCAGCAAATGGCAGAAGTGATCATTCTGGGAGCTTTCCCTCCTCCTGCTTCAGCCTCTTGTGCCCCAGAAATCCTGCCCTTGGAGGCTGGTGGACTCTTGGACCAGTATGTGTGGGGGCAAGGGGGCAAAGTGAGGGTCTGCAGCAAGAATGGAGAACTGGCAAAAAATAGCCCCCTCCCTTTTGAATTTCTCTTCCTTTGGATAATACAAATTGGTTAAGACGATCAAACCTACCTGTTCATATGTGTTAAAGTTTGATCAAATGAATGTTCTCCAATCCTTTTATTGCCAGAAAGATCTCTCCCACCACTCCCAGTATAAGTGAATTCATCACCTCGGTCCTATATGGAAAGATCACTGATTAAAATTTCAAATGAACGTAAGAACTCAAATATACAGTTAAAAATTACCTATGTCAGGGCTTTACATATAATAAAAATAAGTCAGCACCAGGTCTGCTATGAACTAGGGGAAGAATTTGTCTGTAATGGAGGTTGAACAGAGGGACAGGTTGCTTTCCTGACATACTGTACATATTTTATACAGAATACAGGAATTCTAAAAGCTTTGATAGCTTTTAGTATAGCACATTTAGCTATCACTTTATATCATCCTCTTATCACAACAAGAATCAACAGAATAGAATAAACATCTGTTAACACTGTGCTAGTGAAATATATTTTGAATTCCTCTCCACAACAGCTCAACGAAATACCAGCCTTTCTCAGAACTGCAACTATCTAAGCATCTTTTAAATATTTAAAAGATGAGGAAAATGCACTAAGCAACTGGCATGATTAGAACCTTTTACAGAAGTATGGGAGCCACCGTAACTGGGCTTCATGACTTTGGTACCAACTATTTAAAAAACGCATTGTGAACTCTCATAGACTTCCAGTAACAACTGAACTTACATTGATAACATATGCTAAAATTAGGTACTTTTAAAAACCACAGTACAATAATTGGTAACACAAATGGACTGAAACGAACCACTTGCAACAGAATTACTGGTACACTCCATCACAAAATTGGTTGCCACAGGTCATAGACCAGATTTTCTTTATAATATGAATCAATAAAAAGGAAGGGGAATGCTATGCATTACTTATATTTTTCTTAGCTATCAAAAATATTAGATTGAAAATGAGCTAGAAATTAAAAAGCTGATTTAAAAATGTAAGTAAATTAGTAGACATAGCAACCTGCCGACCTGTATGACAAACTTAAGTAGGGATGGGCATTAACCAGCTCACAAACTAAAGTTCATGATGAATTTTGGCTGGTGGTTTATGAACTGAAGTTCATGGCAGGTCACACAGCAAATTTTCGTGGAGGTTCATGAATGAATACATTTCCAGACAGACTGTCTCTGCTCAAACAAAATGTTTACCAAAGTTCAAAACAACAGTGTGTGGGAGTGGAATTATCCAGCCTTGGAAACACTGTTGTCAGTTTCAAATTCATCATGTCAGTTTCAAGAAGGGTTCCTCCCCCCTTTCCAGCATTCCTTTGTATTCACTTCCCATTTTCTTGCACAGAGCTTGCAAAATCCCATCCCCCTTGCTTGGATTGGTTACTCTATGCTTTGTTATCAATCCTTTTAAGCTTGCAATGCCAGTGGCACTGGGTTCTGCTGGGCACTCTGTACATTGTACTGGTTCTCCTAGACTTGCAACAATGCCCTCTTTGCTTGATGATTGAGCGGGCATTGCCACATTGGCACTGGGTTCTGCTGGGCACTAGAACATTGCACTGGTTCTGTTGGGCTTGCAAAAATGCCCCCCATACCTTCAGTTTCTTCTGCAGAGATTCTCTGGTTTGACCTTAGTCCTGTTTGGTTTGCACTGCCCACAGTAGCATTGGTTCTGCTGGGTTTGCAAAAATCCCCCCACCTTCAGTTTCTATTGTAAAGATTCTCAGGGACTTTGATTCTGTTCCACTGAGCTTTTATTGCCCTTGCTTTTTTGCTGTTTTTTTCCTCAATTGGAAACAATGGAGGATGGGGGCACCTTCTTTGGGGGGCTGTAACTTGGACCCTGTAAATCCACTCCTCCCCAGACATGGAGGGTAGGTAGAGCAGAGTCAGCCAGAGATCCACTGCAAGTTTGGTGTCTCTAGCATGCTGGGGGGGGGGCATTCTACTGCCTCATGAACCTCACAAACCAAACCTTAAAAGTTCATGGCTCACAAACCAGGCATGCCATAAACCGCATTTTCCCTCATGGGGGCAAATCCCACAGCAGCAGCAATAGCTGAGCAAGTTCTGTTGGCAGAGAACGCATAATATTCGGGCACTCTTGAAGGCATTTATTCTGTTTTGTTTTTTTAGAATGGCTCTTAATGACAACTCTTAACACATTGCTTACTGCTTTACTGTTCACCTGAAGCACGCTTAAAATTTCTTCCTGATGCTACAGGGCTGGAGAAGAGGGTGTAGACATTATTCTGATGGTAGAAAACAGCTTATGTATGCCTACATACATAAGCATGGCTAGGTAATGCAAAAAGGCCCACAAGACTGATTCGTCACATAGCAGAACAGCTTGCTGTTCTATTTATGTGTTGTTAATGTTTCTCCAACTTTTGCTTCCAGGTGATAGATGCTGAGATTAGTCTGAGATAGTCTTCCAAAACCTACCTCAGTACTTCACTGTGTCAAATCTCATGGTGATAAATCTGTGTTTGGGGGACTCACAGGACTGAATACTACTCCCTCCACACAGAAAAGTAGCAGATGTGGGAGAAGACTACACTAGAACCTTAGCTTCTGACACATCACACTCATTCCTAGTGCTTCCCAAACAGGCAGCAACATCAGATTTACCACAATCCTATAAATGTATGTGCAAATCAGTTTCATGTATCATTGCAAGAGGTACGTTGCAGACTGAACAATTAATATGCAAATAAACAGTAACAGTATTACAATGGTGACAATCTGAACATTTTCCAAAAATCAGAGCTGGAAGTTTCTAACACTGCCATCCTAAGAAGAGTCACACTACTTTAGGTTCACTGAAGTCAATGGGCTTACAAGAGTGTAACTCTGCTTAGGATGGGAACGCAAACCACAAAATGTATATTCAGTATTTTAAAAAATATTTAAATAGGTACAAATTGTTAGGGATATTAATATATTCCTTCAGTAGCATATGCAATCATGCAGCAAATGTGGCATGGCTCAAACAAAATGCAAACATGGTAAACCCAGGGTTGCCAACCTCCAGGAGGTGGCTGGAGACCTGCTATTACAACTTATCTCCAGGTGACAGAGATCACTTCACCTGGAGAAAATGGCCACTTTGGAAGGTGGTCTCTATGGCACTGTACCACACTGAAGTCCCTCCCCTCACCAAACCCTGCCCTCCTCAGGCTCCACCCTCCACATCTCAAGGTATTTCCAAACCCAGAGCTGGCAACCCTATGTAAACCAGTTTGGATTATACAGTTTCATGATGCAAGTGTGGATGAATGCTCTTCCATTAAAAAAACAAAACAAAAACACCTTCCATGGAGTAAACAAGTATGTCAGGAAGAAGGGTCCAGCTTAGCCTTCTCCTGAAATGCTAGTTTTCTACATGCAGGGAATTTTACATGTATGAAAGCGTATTTAATCATGTGATCCCCACCTTTAGTCAGAAGTGATACAGCCCACACACAGGGTAACCACCTCAGTGAGGCCAACTGAGAAACATTTAATCTAATACTGGAAAGAGAGAGCCATCACAGCCAAATGTAAAATTATACTTAGGATATTAATATAGTCAGTTAGCTTTACTGAAAGAAAAATAATAATCAGGACAGAATGTAATACACTCAGTTCATCTCAGCCACCTTTCTCCATGCTAAATGCTTATTCTGTATTACCAACTAGGGGTGTGTATTTGGCAATAACCCGAAAAATACCTTATTGGGGAGGGAAAGAAAGGCATTTAAACATGCCTTGGCTCTCTGCCTTCCCTCAGTGGGGCAGCTGGGGGAGGGAAGGCAAAGAGAGGAGAGGAGGCTTCCACTGGTCAGTTTCACTCCGATCAGCTGACTGGCGGGGAATGAAACTGACCAGTGGAAGTAGAGGGGCTTGGGGGGGATGGAAGGCATTTTAACATGCCTCCCTTCCTTCCCTGCGGCTATATTAGACACGAATACATTCAGCAATACCAAATATTTCCCCAGCCAGTATTGGACTGGGGAAATTTGGTATTTACCGATATTTTTCAGGTCTGTTATACCCAAATCCCCCCCCCCCCAATTTTTTTTTCTTGCATACCCTATTACCAACAGATAGAGTTCAGCAAAAATCAGAATTTGTTATAATTAAAGAATCCAATCCTAACATTATGAAACACTATGCAATATTTACAATAATACATAAAACCTGAATATGTATTTCTTAAGAAAGAGGTACCATTAATTTCAGAAATGTTTGCCTGCAGGTAGATGTGCTTAGAATCTTGGTGCCAGACACAACAAATAATTCTAGAGCAAAGTGATTCCTCTTAGAAAGATTTTTAAAAAGAAACCCAGTTATTGTATTCTGCCCTGAAGCACTTGTGGGAAGGGTGCTGGGCCAGCACAGGCTGTTTTAGTCTTCAGAGATGAAGAAATCAGTGGGTTTTCCAGAAGGTGTTGATGTCTTATCACAAAAAGAATTAAACTCTCACTTCTGAGGATGCACAGAGAAAATATATTGTTAGTTATATGTAAGGTACTCTCTACTTCAGAAATATTTTACACAAATTTCAGAAGTGTCCATTGCTTGAGGAAGAGAGGTAGAGTTCACTCTACAATGAAGTTAGCTGAGGTGAGGTCCTCAAAAAGTGGATGAGGGAGGCAATGTTCCACCTACGCATCCATCAGCCTTCCATCCCATCCATCTCCTCAGGAATAGCCTCCTCTGCCTTGCTACCTCCCTATTCAGGGGCCAAAACAGGTACTTATCATTTCTTTCTCACTCCCCAAGGCCTTTTAAAGAATAGTGAGACAATCTGTATGTGCCTTATAGATCTTCCTAAATCCTTAAAAGATACATTGGCCATCATTTTGCTTGTAAACAAAAGCAGTGGCTGAACTCATGAGAGGAAAGAATCTCTTAAGAATTTAGGAAGACTTGTAGGACATTTATGGCTTACACAATTTTTACAAAGGTGTATGTGGGGAGGGAGTGAGGAAGCAAAAAGAATAGTCTACTTTAGCTCCTGGACAGAAAGGTGTGGCAGTGGAGGCAAGGTTTATTTTTTCTGCAGGTCTAGGAGGTCTCTGTTTTCTTCCCATTCCATTCAAGCTTCTAGTGCATATGTCTGTTGGGACCCAAGTTTACTATTTATCTCAAGTTATTCCAAATAACATTTGATTTTAAGTATGCCATCACTGACAATGTGAAAGCAGGCAATCAAGTTAACTCAACACATACACAATATTATGAATATAAAACTAACCACTTCATCTTCAAATCCTCCAGCCAGCACAAGGGAGTATGCTCCATCATTACTACGACCATGAATTCCACCAACATGAGGTCTGTGGACACCTGCTTCGCTCACCTTCATGGTAAAAATTAACAAATTTGTTTAAAAGGGAGTTTATAGGCTGTGACAGCAATGTTCTAAATTTGTATTCGTCATTTTGTTTTGGACAGTAAACTTCCCATCTTTATTACAAATTACAACTGCGATTTCAAGTCTTCTGTTATGCATCCTGGGGGCTGCAATTCAAGAAGTACAAGCCAAAATTGAAACTATAATAGTCATTCAAATGTAAGAAGTAATACCTAAGCAACAACACTGACTCCTTAGGACAGGGCCACAAACCGAAGGTCCAGTCATAGTAGTCTGTTAATGGGTCAGCCACCATACAAGGCAAGCCTAGCATCTGTACGAAATTAAAGAATGGCCTCTAATGCACCATGAAGAGGGGCTGCCAAAGGGGGGGGGGAACAACCAGGTAGCCTCATTGTACATCACAATCTTTGGATCATGGTGACATTACCCCCCTCCCCCCCATTATTTTAAGCGCTGAAAATACAAGTGGAGTATGTTTTGCAACTTGCCCACTAGTGCAAATGATGCAAGTTAAAAGAAAAGGGGGCTGTTTAGTTTACATACGTAGAGAAAGCATATTTACCTGCACTCTGAATTTCCAGGTTGTTCCAACAGGAACTCCAGGAATAGGTCCATAGTGGTTGGAAGGAACAATAGTGCATTCCTTAGTACGCCCAACACAGGCCATACCCTACAAACATAAAAACAGTAAATGTTTCAGTAATAATTCAGTATCAGTAACAGGTGTTGAAGTTTAATGAACAGACACACAAGCAACTGTTATCCCTAGTTTATGTAGAGAACTCATTTCAACACACAGTTAGATACATATAAAGCAGGTTGGGGTGCACACAACAGCCTTTACACTCCCATAGTGCAAAATTGGGTGCTTTATGACTTGTACTCTTAGGGAATTTTATATATAATGAAGACATTTCCTAGTAATTTGCACAGTGCATTTTCACTGAATAGAGAAGATGTGTGAGTTATGTTGAATATTTTGCATTACCAATAAACTAAGGTATTAAAAAATTATCTTTTGCAATATCTGGTCAATCAGTCATATTTAATAAAACACAAATTGATCTGTTAATATGTGCTTTTGTTTAACCAAGCATCAGATTGTTAAAAATATTACTTTAATACAAAAACTATAGGTGGGGAGCACTAGTTCAGAAAAAGCATTGTCCTCCTCTCTCATGCACATCAGGAAATTCCTTCTCTAAGATTACACTTGTATGTGTAGAAATAGAGGTTATCAAAAACGAAAGAGGCTTAACCATATGGCTAGGCACGGCATCTCTACTGACAAACCATGCTTATGCTCATTAATATGCTTCTTGAACATGGGATTCCAGGGTGAATGGAAAATGAATGCACACGAGTCATTTTTGTTCATGGCTCCTAAGAATGCTCTCTTCCCAACTCAATTAAGCCCACAGCACAGATCTTCTTGTCCCGTGGCCTTCCCCTGTATCTCTGTCCACTCAGAGCAATTCCCCATGAAAGATCAAAAGGGAAACAGCATGATGCAGTGATTAGAGTGCTGGTTTAGGATCTGGGGGGCCCATGTTCAAATCCCCACTCTGCCATGGAAGACTACTGGCTGATCTTGAGCCCGTCACATACTTTCAGCCTTATCTACCTCACAGGGTTGTTGTGAGGATAGAGGAGAGAACACTGTAAGCCATTTTGTGTCCCCAATGGGAAGAAAAGCAGGGTATAGATAATTTAAATGAATAAAATAAAAGATGATCAGCAAGATGCACTCTGTGTTTAAACATACTAATGTTGAACAAACTTAATTTGGATCAATTCATTTTCAAGTTTCCATCACAAATTTCCATCCAATATCATCAGGACACTTCTCATCAAGAAGACTTCATGCAGAACACAATAGAGCATGCAGAAGAGTTCTACAACCACAAGAAATATTATTCTTAAAAGATCCCTGGAACACCAAAGATGCAAGGACATTTATGTCAGGATCTCGTACTTTGGGTTGACTGGGATTGCACATATAAACCACTAAATCCTTATTTTTGGACCAGATTATTCCATCCAAATCCTAATGCATGTTTGCTACTAGGTGAGGACCACTGAAATTCAGAAAAAGTATGCAGAAAATTGATGCCATATAAAAATAAGCTGGGGAATGACTGCTGGGGAAAAGGGTTTTATAATGGAGGAGATGCTAGTGCACAACCCTCAAAAAATATATGGCTAAGCCAAGAGGCAAAGTGGTACTAAGCAGAAACTGCATGTTGGTTGCTCAAGGGTAAACTGATCTGCATAATGGGAGAGGAGGGAGCAAGAGTTCTGACCATTCATGGACATCTCTCATTCACTGTCCATGTTTAGCAGATGCATAGCATGTATTAACAACAGCAGACCCGTGGTATTCTTTTAAAATTCAGAAGGACCATCTGAATTACTGCAAGGGACTAGTAAGAATGGATGAGAAACGATGGGAAAACCATACCTCAGAGCGGGTGATATATCACATTGCTGAACACGAGAGTACTATATAAATCAACTGGATGGACTATATAGCAGATCAGCCCAATGTTACAACTTTTTTTAACAGGACATTTTAGAAACAGCTACACCAGGTGAATTTTAGTCATAACTGGTGCAGCAGTGCACCCATATACAACAGACAACTGGGGAAATTAAATGGAAACACTGTTGGGAAACAAACAACACTTTATGCCAAAGTTTTTGGTGAAATTAATAGGAGACCATAAAATAAGCTCAGAAGGAGAGAGAAGTGCTAGCAAAGTCAGGAATACACTATTCTGCAAACTGAGAATAGTTAAATATTTCAAATCAGGCAAGTCTTCAGCCTAGCCTGTAAGATGGCCCCTTACCTTGAGACGGTTGATCTAGTCACCTGGATCCACACCACAGTGACTAGACTACTGTAATGCACTGTACATTGGTCTCCCTTCAGAACAATTTGGAAACTATAATGTACTGTATACTGGTCTCCCTTCAGTTCAAATAGGAAACTTTAACGCTTCAATTAAGCCCTTCATGACCTTGGTCCCTCTTATCTGAGACAGCCTCTTCCCTATGCTCTGACACAACAGCTTTGGCTCATGTCAGCAGGACTTCTGCGGGTGCCAACCTGTGTGGTTCCTGCCTTATAGAATGGCCTTCCCATGGAGACCAGGAAGGCTCCTACTCTCCCGGTTTTCCACAAGCTATGCAAAACGGAATTATTCAAGAGGGCTTTTCTACACAAATAATAGGATTGTACTGTACAAAATGGTTCCCAAACTTACTTGGATAAAAGATCAGTGACTGTGGTCTATACTGCTGTGTATAGCTTACTGTAAGCAATAACCTATTATGTAATTTTGCACTGCTTCAGTTCTATCTTTCAGAGCTCTGGATGGTTCCAGACTTGTACAGATTTAATGCATTGTTTATTGAATGTCTCATTTTGTTGACTGTATTGACTCACTGTGTAATCAACTGTCAGTTCTTGTGACAAAGGCGTACTATAATAAATAGTTAGCCTACATCCTTTGGGTAACAGACAACAGTGATAATGTAGCACCACCCATAGCATCACCAATAGGGCAAAGTATAGCATGTTCCAAGTACGGGTGTGCATTTTTCGGGAGAACCAAAACAAATTCCTGAAAAAATCCTGGATATATTCAGGAATGACTGGCAAACCCTGAAAAACATCTTAGGGACTGGAGCAGATTGCTCCTACTTTCTTCTGCAGTTCCTTTAAATGGGGTGTTTAAAGGGACTGCAGAAGACAGCCCGCAAAACAGCCAAGCTGGGGAGGGGGGACCACTCAGCTGGGGCTCTCTTGGGCAGTCCCTTTAAACCAGACTGCCCCAAAGACCCTGCAAAGCAGCTGACCGCACAGGGAGAACTCTCCTCGTGGCTCAGCTGGGGCTCCCTTGGGCAGTTCGAAATGCTCAAGAGAGTCCCAGCTAAGCCTGCAGGAGGAGTTCTCCCTGTGGGATCAGCTGCTCTGCGGGCTCTTTTGGGCACTCCAATTTAAACCGGACTGCCCAAGAGACCCCAGCTGAGCCCATGGGAAGAGTTCTCCCCATGGGATCAGCTGCCTTGCGGGCTCAGCTGGGGTTCTCCTGGGCAGTCGCCCAAGAGACCGACTGCCCAAAAGAGCCCGCAGAGCAGCTGATCCCACAGGGAGAACTCCTCCTGCAGGCTTAGCTGGGACTCTCTTGAGCATTTCGAACTGCCCAAGAGAGCCCCAGCTGAACCACCTCTTAGCTGTTTTTTTCCGCCTTTGTCACTGCTTTTTTTCTCTTCCTATTTTTCAGTTCTAGTCTATTGAAACCCCAAAATTTGGGATTTCCAAAAAATCCCAGATCCAAGTACTTTAGCAGTATTGGGATCCGGATTTTTGGGGGGAAATCCCAATTTTTTGGGGGGTCCAAAAGACTCAAATTGAAAAATTGCACACCCCTAGTTATAAGCATTTGAGCAGACTTGATGGATATAGCGTAGGAAAAGCATGGCCATGGGCAAATTCCCTTGACAGCGGGCACTGAAATTTTTGAAATACATAAACATGTACATTTAGAAACCACACCATGATTTCAATTCTAAACTGTAGTAAGTACAAATCATGCCTTTGGTTCCAAAGATTCTTTTAGTTCACATGGAAACTCAAACAGATTCATAAATACTATTTGTATACTCTTACATGGCTATATGCAGTCCTTAAACATCCCCATTGTAAGTGTTCCTAGTGTGTGTAACGTGTTTTATTATATATGTGCTAGTAGAGAACACAAACATACACAGTGTACAGCTGATTTCTAGTGGTTACCTTGCCCCAGTCCCGCTGGCTGTCTGTGCAGGCAGATGGCATCTTTGCTTTCTTTTTACTCTGCTTGAGTTTTTCCCCAGCTTTTACAACTTCATTGGAATCGTTTTTACAGGAAGGACAATACCTAAAAATATATATATTTTACATTAATTACTCCTGCACAAAAGTTGAGCCAGAAGAGCACTGACGAGATGACCAGAACCATTTCTGCAACCCTACTCATGTACATCAGTGTTGTCATTTAGTTTCTCCTTCTGTGTCTCTTCCAAGTTCTCTGCTGCCTCTCCTTGATTTCATGCTGCTGACTTTTTGTACATCTCCAAATAATATACTCTTCTTTTTTTCAAAGCATTGCAAAAAAAATTTCCCATTATCAAAGGAGGGGCTTTAGTGTTCAGCTCCACCAAGCATCTTCCCATGACTAGCAGAAGAAATATACGCAAAATTACTTCATTTGTAGTGTCTGTGAAATTTTAATTCTCTTGGCAAAACACCCCCATGGTTGTACTTACCGTAAGTGATGTTCATCAAGAGTTTTCTGAGCAGGCACACATGGGGACTGCCTTAGTGCAGGCCTGCCACAGAAGGAAAAACTCCACAAGTTTCTAGAAAGCTCCTCAGATGAGTGCTCCCCCTCCCCTCCATCAGAGTTGGAGACCTTTTTCCGCCTATTTGGACATGAGATGGAGGAGGAAGGAGCACTCTTCCCACAGTTCTTCATTTACTGTCATGAAGCAGAGAACACAGCATGGCCTTACCAGCCCACAGAGGGGAAAGGAGGGAGGGATGTGGGCCTGCACAGAAGACACTCGAAGAATATCAGTTACAGGTAAGTGCAACCATATTTTCATCTTTGTGTCTTCTGTGTAGTCCCACATGGGAGAATAGCAAGCCCACTTATCAAGGAGCTGGATTGTAGGCTTCGTATCAGAATAAGAATGTAAGAAAAGCCCTGTTGGATCAGATCAATAGTCCATCTTGTCCAACATCCTGTATCACACAGTTGCCAAAAAGTTCCTCTGGAGGGCCAACAACAGGGCATAGAGGCTGACGCCTTCCCCTGATGTTGCCTCCTTGGTTTATAGGTAGTGGGCTGTTGAGGAGTAATGCCCAGCGATTTGGCTGTCAACCTATTATTTCATATCCTATCCAGGACAGTGTCTGTCTTTTTACTGAACAGGTGTTTGCCCTCAAAGGGAAAGTCCTCAATACAGGCTCTTGTGTCTGGGGGTAGGCCAGATGCTCTCAGCCAAGAGTGTCTTCTAAGTACTACCCCCGAGCCAGTAATGGGACTGCATGCATCCACATGTTGAGAAGCATTTAACCTTTGCTTCCCAAGCCTTATGCCCACAGTTTGCAACACTTTTGCCAGGGTTTTCTTATCATCTGGGAGCCCCTCTAAATGCTGAGACATTCTCTCCTAGAGAAACATCTGGTAACATTCCATTATCGCTGTAAAATTGGAGATACAAAGACCCAGGGTGCCCAATGTGTACACTTCCTGCCCAGTAGGCCTAGTTTGCACCCAGTGTCCTGATTGGGGTATCTCAGTGCCTGAGTCACTGGAGGAGTACCCAGCCAACGGTCCATCCCATGCTTTTTGACTTGGAGGGGGAACTTCAACCACATTGTCCTCTAACGTCTAGTAGCCTGTCGCTCCTAAAGAGTGTGATGGTGTTCATGGTTTCTGCATGGGGATTCTCTCTCCCTCAGAAGACATGCTACAGTGTTGACAGAGAGGAGAATGAAGTCGAAATGATGGAAACTATCGAAGTTGAGGTGACTGAGATCTTTGAACCTGAGCGTGATGGTTTGGCGTTGAGGGCTATCATTCAGTCAGCACTGAGTGGGCGATGTCAAAACTTCACTTGGAGGTGTACGACATCAACTCTAAGGGGAAGATGAACGTTGGGTCTGAGTCAGAGAAGGACCTTGATATAGAGGCAATTAAGGCGAACGTGCTTAGATTTCTTTTTAAGTTTTTTAGTGGGGGGTTCTGAAGCTGCTCTTTGCACTGACATGGTCCCTTCGGTGTCAGACTTCAATTTCGATGCTGGGACTGAGGCTACCGAGAGGGGGCAAGATCTCTTATGGGAAGACTCAGCTGAATTTGGAGTGATGCCCAACGAAATACTCCCATAATGCTGCTTTTAGGTGGGAAATCTGGTCTTGGTGCACTGGGGGAGAAAAGTCGGCACACTTGGCAGTTGCCTGTATTGTACCCTTCCCCCAAATACAAGCCATCTTGGTGCCACAGGATTGGCACTCCTTAAACAGATGCTAACAAAAAGGAAGGGAAGGGGGAAGGGAAAAAAAGGGGGGGGGAGAAAACTCAACCCAAAAAGTTACTATGGATCCACAAGGGTTAAGCTGACTCTAAATATTATGAAAATGCAAAATTTATTCAGGTGTACACATTTTAAAACTTAGACTCATTAAAAATATACCATTCAGACATAAAAAACTTCTCAACATTCATACATAGATGGGTTAGTGCTGTGCAACTGAACCAAACGCGTTTCGGCCCCTCAAAGGGCCTTCCTCAGTGGTCACAATTCCAATTACAAATTTGACATACATTCAAAATTTTTTTTACATAAGATGTACATATACAGGAGAAGGCCAGATGTTGTTTCCTAAATACTTCTGTATTTGTTTATTATTATTCTATAAGATGGGCCTCCAGTTTAGCCAATTAAAGTCCACCAATAATTCTGGTATCACAAACTTGCGTGAGTTGAATGTATGTGGAGTGACATACATTCAACTCACGCAAGTTTGTGATACCAGAATTATTGGTGGACTTTATCCCATATATAATCTTACCATTATATTCTTAATCCCTTTTTGTGATGGCCTTTGGCTACATACAATAAATAAATAAATGTCTGTCATATATAATCAGTTCTTGTTGCACATAATTATAGTATATAAGATATGTCAATATTTTAAAAGTATTCAAGAATACATTGTTATTATAAGTCTAACATATGATAATTAATCTCAAATAATTGATACGTTTTAAGCTAATTAGTAGTTGTGGTAAACTCTGAGAGAAAATATTCTTGAATATTATGAACATGCTGTATACTTGAAATATGTAGTTTAAATGTTATATCTATAATATCTTTGAGTGTTCTTGTTATGTGTACTTTAAATCTTGCTTTGGCTCCCCTTTCCTTCTTTATTTCTGTACACATATTTTGTTTAAAAAAATAAAAAGGTAAGTAAAATCGATCCAAGATTACTCACAATAAACCACTTTCAACTGCTGGGAAAAAATCCCTCAGAAGAAGCTCATGGTACGTTGTCTCTCCACAGCAGCAGCAGAAAGAGAACTGAGGGAAGAGTGTTCCCTCCCCCCTCCATCATGTGACCAAGTGGACAGAAAAAGGTCTCCAGCTCTGACAGAGGGGAGGGGGAGCACTCATCAGAGGAGCTTTCTAGGAGCTTGCGGAGTTTCTCCTTTTGCAGCATGCCTGCACTGAGGCAGTCGCCATGTGGGACTGCACAGAAGAAATTAAGATGAAGCGCAGTTTCACAGACAGCTCAAGAATAATAAGGGAGAGAATAAGACAATGAACCTGCTGCATGACATGACCTTGTGATGCACCGACTTGCAAGTAGATTTACTCACAGGTAGACCCATCAGTTCAGCATTCAAAGAACTGTAGTCCTTTCTATAGGTAAATCTATCTCCAGACATTCACCTCGTTCTGTATGAACAGGACCAACATTTCCCCATTCAGAAAGTAAGTGGATAAAGGCTGAAGACATATATACCTGCATCCATTAGGCCTGAATTGATTAATTAAACCACAAATTCCTTTTCCATTGCACCCAAAAGGACATATGTTTCATTAAAGCAACATTCCTTTTTTTGGAAACAGACAGACCCATCACTTTAAAGATCAATAACTTTAAGGATCAATCAGAAAGTTTTATAACTCTGTAACAAAAGCAGTACGTTCTCTCTGCAACTCTATACAGCAAACAAAAATAAAAAATATATATCTGTCTTGCATTACTTACCAGTCTTCATCTTCAGGTATCTTGCTTAAAGGTGGATTCAGGCAGTATATGTGGTAGGCCATGTTACACTCATCACAGAGAAGTTGCATGTGGGCATCCTGTTTCCCTCCACACAAATAACAGGAGCAAAATCGACATTCTTTATCTGGATCAGCTCGGCAATGCTTGCATTCAGGGCCCCTCTTTCCTGTGAAGCAAAGTGAGATGATCTTTCCTATTGCTGAGAGATCTTACCCACAGTTCAGTATGACTGACTTATCAAGAGGTGTTTTAAGCCAGGTTGTGCAAAATATTACCCCCAATAACATAAATATCAGAATATACTGCAGTTGTTACGCTTCTATTTAAGAAAAGTTACTGCAAAAGCAAAGGCTTAAGAACAAATTTGGTTTTAGTTTTTCCTATACATTTAGTTCAGTACAGGTCTGTTTACTCATATCTTTTCTGCAGAATGCAAAACTAATAGTCCAACATTAAATGTATTTGGAGTAGAAGGATAATGACACTGCTAAGGATGAGCTCTACACGGGGTGACTACTTACACTGCTTTCCAGAGCGGGCAGTTGGCTGTAGTGGTTAAGTGCGCAGACTCTAATCTGGGAGAACCGGGTTTGACTCCCCACTGCTCCACTTGCACCTGGCTGGATCTTAGGCAAGCCATAGTTCTGTCAGAGCTGTTCTCTCAAGGACAGTTGTCTCAAAGTTCTTTCAGCCCCACCTACCTCATAGGGTGATTGTTGTGGGGAGAGGAAGGGAAAGGAGTTTGTAAGCCTCTGAGACTCCGAGTGAAGGGCGGGGTATAAATCCAATCTCTTCTTCTTCTTCTTCTCTTCTTCTTCATTGTACAGGTAATCAAATAACTGCTTACTCCTCTTAACAGATGTTTTTTAAGCAGTGGCTCCAGAGGTAAAGCACCCCCTGCCACCAGAGATGCACCAGGTCCATTTATATGTACAGTTAAAACTTTTCTTTGGGGAAAAATTGATCCTTCGATATTTTAAGACATTGGGATTGTCTTATTTCTGCTGGAGGTCTGACTGGAATTTGGGTAAATTTTTTTCCTGCTATTTTAATGTAGTCCACTTCAGTAGCACTTTTTGATAAGTGAATTATAGACATAAATAAACAGAAACTGCATAGGTGCGCCAGGTTTACACAGGATTTGCCATCAAGTCCACTGCAGGTGAGCAGTTGCACATCTTCCTACCTAAACAAATTATGTGGAAACTATCCAAAATGTTTTGGTGTAAATTAAACAGCATACTCAATAATAAAATGGGCTACTTGATTGGCTATAGATTACTTTCTAAATAAATAAATTTTTAAAAAAGTAATACACAGTACTGATGCTTGACACATCTTGATATTTTCCAATTCTAATAGTGCAAAAAGCAGAGCAACGCTCTTGTAAAAGAACTGTCTTCAGTGGACTGAGAATGGCATAAAGCAAAACAAACACACTGAAACAGAACCACTGAAAAAGGAGTAGTGAATCACATGAAAAAGATACACAGGAGCAGGGGAGAATAGTAATGGTACCCACATAAATAATGCTTCTTGTGATAATGAGGAGAATAAATATAGACAAGGAGCACGGAGGAAAATAAATGTTAAGACCATTTTAAGTAAAAATGTAAAGAGAGACATCTGATATCACAAATTCATTTGCATAAGGATATGGAGGACAAAAAATAGTTCTTCAAATTTTCATACAACGAATCTTAAAACAAATGTCATTTGTTAAAAAAAAATGTACTTTACCACAACACAAAGAGTTTATGTTCCTCTGTTGCAGGTGATTAGCCTGGATGTGGACAGAGCCATAAGCCAAAGGGCCCTTGGCTCACAGTCTGCAGCGCTGAGTGGATCCAGTGAGTGGCCCAGGAGTTTGAATTTCTTTTTGTCTAAATTTACATTTTTCCGCCTTTTTAAAACCACCTTGAGCCTCCAGGAGGAAGAAGAGGGGAATACCTTAAATGTGAACACATTCCTTCACATAATACAAAAAAATTGCCTACTTTTGAACTCTCCATCTGCAAATGTCAGAGGATATGCTCCTGGCTTTTCAATCTTGTATATTTCCTCTATAAAAAGTAGTTTGCAATCATTTATTATATTTTCTGGGCCTCTGAAAAGTAAGAGAGAAAATATTTTAGCTCAATATATCTCAAACTCTGATTATAATGCTGACTGGACGAATGCGTTCTCAAACCAGTAATGTTGACTGTATGAACTATCATATATTGAGCATAGTCTGCATTCAAAACTGAACAAAAAGCAGTTCTCTTTAGGCAGTGATTCTGAAACTATTTATTAGCTCACTCATAGTTCTATCTCAAATTTTAAGATTTCGAGTACAGTGAAACAAATTGTAAATTCACCTGAAACACAGGAGTCATTTCCTGCAGGAGCGCACAGGAGTGGAGCTCTGGCAGTAAAGAGCCCGGGGGGCGGGCACATGCAACAAGCCCCACCCCCTGCTCCCAGCAGGGGCTCACTCAGAGCAAGAAGCAGCCAGGTAAGTTGCAGAGCTCCCCCCCGGTCCAAAACAGTCCAGTGGCACCTTTAAGACCAAGTTTTATTCAGGTACAAGGTCTCCCTCCTCTGTGAGGACAGATCTGCACGTTCCCCCCACCCCAATAGCTACCAATCCAAAACAGTCCAGTGATGCCTGAGCGGTGGGTGTTGCCTTCTGACACATGCCTGGTGATGTCAGGGGGTGTGGCATATGCAAATGAGTTATGCTAATGAGCTCCTGCACCTCTTTTTCTACAAAATGACCCCTGCTGAAACATATACTTCAGACAAGTATTTAGTTCCTTTTCTATATTGCCATTTGAGACATGCTGGCCAGGGTGGTCCTCAATGAAATTATTAACAATAGAATAAGCAGTAAGACAAAATATAAAAATAGCCACACACTGAGTTGAGATTTTCAATAAGCTACCTATTACAACACCAAGATCTCTTTTCCTCTCAGTTCCCACCAGTTCAGAGTCTTCAGACCGCATCACCATATATTCAAAGCTGAGATTTCTTCCTCAATAGTGCATCACCTTGCACCTACAAAGAACCCAATTTGGAAAGGCCCTCTTGGAGCTCTTCACAATCCACTTTGGTTTTCATTGTCCTGAATAACTTGGCATCATTTGCAACCTTGGCTGCTACACTGCTTGCCCCCAAATCTAGTTCATTTATGAACATATTAAAAAGAACTGCTTTTAATACCAAACCTCATTGGACTCCACTGCTTACCTCCCTCAGTTGCAAGAACTTTATATTTACTCACACTCTCAAATCTTTGGCGAGGGATTTGCCAAAAGCCTTCTGGAAACTCAAGTATATAATAATGTCTACAGGATCATCCTTATCCACATGCCTGTCAAACTTTTCAAATAATCAAAATTGGTGAAGCAGAATTTCCCTTTGATGAAACCATGCTGATTATACTTAGGAAGAGTATAATCAAGAACAATTATTACTAATTTACCCAGAACTAACCGGCCTACAATTTCCTGGATCTCCTCAGGATCTCATTTTTAAAATTGGTATTGTATTTGCTACTTTCCAGTCCTCTGGTAAGAAGACTGATTTTAGTAACGTTACATACACTGGTTAGAAGATCAACTTTTCTAATGTGAGTTAAGGACCCTCAGGTATATGCCATTTAGATATGAGGACATATTAGTTTTTAATCTATCCATTAGTCCTCAAACTTCACCTCTCATTTTATCTATTAGAGTCTGATCAACAAACACCTTTCCTGAAAACAGTGGCTCATCTGATTAAGACCAGGGAAGGTGCAGCATATTGTGTTAATATGTGTTAACTGACCAGAGGAGTAATTCTGTCGGTATATCAGAATGTCACTTCCTGCATTAGTTACCCTGATGGGGTACATGAAGTTAGGGGACTACCTATTAGGCAGTCCCGGAAGTTCAAGAGTGTATTTAGTAGTGGGCACTGGAAACAGAACAAGACTTTTTGATGTAATACGCCCCTTTCTGTCTGTATACACTGCCAGAGTTGGTATCAAACACCACAGTCTGATTAACCAGGGAGACTTCAACATTCTCACCAAGTCCATCTGTTAGGTGCAACTTGGGACTTCATGAATCTCGGTGGCCGGGCCACCAAATTGGGTGGGGCGGGGGGGCTGCAGGACAAAATTTGGGGGACCCAAGTCAGCTGGAAGACCCCTGAAGCCAGCCCTCATCCTGTATTTACAAAGCACATTTAAATTTTTTATAATGCAGTTCTGACTGCAGCCACTAGAGGCACAGGGAAGGCAGAGCAACAGTAAAAAGCACTCACAGACTGCTGGCTGGGCCTTTTAGCAAAGTTTACGATGAGGCTGAGGGCAACCATTTGCTAATCAGATCAAACTCATCAACCAAGCCAGCACTGAAGCAAGGCAAGACTAGCCAGGACAAGGTACAGTCAATGCCAGGATGCAGCCTCCTAACAAGATATATGGTTTCCCTCTTTCTTTCAGCCAACTCTGCACAACCAGATCTTGCAAAGGGGCAGCCTTGTTAGTGTATGGTAGCATTTTTAAAAAAACAATTACTGTCTTTCCCTCAATTTCTCTCTTTCCCACCCTTTGCTCTTCCCTTGTTTTGCTTGCTTCCTTTCATAACCTGCTACTTCTCTATTCCCCACTTCTAATTCCCCACCACCACCTTTTTCAGTCTTGGTCTCAATTCTTTCTCATCCACCCTGGTTGGTAACTTTGAATGTATTTAATAGCAGTATAGAAGCAAACTTTGGTTAACATTATGAACGGAAGAGGGGAGTTAATATTTCCCCATAATCTATCAAAGTAATAAAAGGATGCTCCCCTCCCTCCACTCTACACATGCATGATAATAAATGTTAATCTGTCTCAGTGGTAACAAATGAGGTTAGAACTTGTTTACTGATTTACAAGAGAACAGGTAACAAGGGAACAAGAGAAGTTAGAACCTATTTATTTATGTATTTTAGTTATAACCTGCTTTTCTCCCCAAAACAGCTTACATAGTTCTTCTCTCCTCTGTTTTATCCCTAGGACACCCCTGTGAATTAGATTAGGCTGAGAAAGTATGACTGGCCCAAGATCTCCCAGCAAGCTTCCATGGAACAAGTGGGGATTTGAACCTGGCTTTCCCAGATCCTAGTCCAACACTTTAACCACTTTGCAATCTTATGGTGGAGGAGGGTGTCTGAAAACATTGTGGGCCAGGTTATTCCAGTTCCTTTAATTTCTGGCCCTGAAACTCCATGGATCATCCTGGAGCTGGTGTACAATTTTGAGATTCCTAGTTTTATTTTCTGAGTTATGCCTGCCACAAGTGGACAGGCAGATGGGCATGTGGATACTTTTATTAGTACAGATGTGTGGTGACAGCCAGCCAGAGATTCCTAGTTGTTAAGGTATTTTGTTAAGGTATTTTGTTTGGATCAGGGTCGGGGGGGGCAGATGGGATCTTTGGGGGCCCATGGCGGTTCTCAGTGGCATGTCTTATGTTATATTTGGTGCCACACATACAGCAGAGCCAAACTCTTGAGGAGTATGATCTAGGACTGGGAAACCTTAACATATCTTTTCATCATAGATCATTACTTGGCTACGTTAAGCCTTACAGATGCACTGAAATGCCATAGCAGAGGGGCATCAGTTAGGATGGTTTCCTGATGGCTCTGGGGAATTTACTGCTGTTGTGGCTGGTGATCCTTTGAGAGCTCACATTAATCCCAGTAATGGAGAATCCACATGAACACAAGCTATAATTCTTCTTACAGCCTACTCTGTGGCAGTGATTGTGACAAAAAACCTAACCTGCCATTACTGCTTTCACAAACAGCTATTCACCATAGCTGATTTAAATGGTAAGGGACCTTTCATAACCAAGTTGGAAGAATATCCATAGCAACCTATTTTATTTATTAAAACATTTATATTCCACCTTTTCTCCTGGTGCAGCGCAGCTTACAATAACATGATTATTGTAAGCCTACTATGATTATACAATATTATACCATATTATGTCATCCCCTTTCAGTGTTGACATCACATTAATAAGAGATGATGAAGAAGAAGAGATTGGATTTATACCCCGCCCTTCACTACCCAAAGGTGTCTCAGAGCTGCTTACAAACTCCTTTCCCTTCCCCTCCCCACAACAGACACCCTGTGAGGTAGGTGGGGCTGAGAGAGCTCTTGACAGAAACTGCCCTTTTTCAAGAACAGCTGTGACAGAGTTATGGCTTGCCCAAGGTCATCCAGCCAGGTGCAAGTGGAGGAGTGGGGAATCAAACCCGGTTCTCCCAGATTAGAGTCCGCACACTTAACCACAACACCAAACTGGCTCTCGATAGAGTTCATAATACCTCTTGGCTTTTATTTTGTTAGAAATATCAATTTGCACTAACCAAGAATGTAGACAACCTCCTTGGTAAGGCAAGTCACACTACTAATACTCTTATTTCTGGCCTGGCCTGATTCTATCAGTCTACAGGTGAAATTAGCCTAATCCATAGTGGAGGCAAGAATTGTCTCTTTGAGAGGACAGTAGGGAACAGTCCCCACATTGTGGAAACAGCCAGCGCTAAGGCTATTCAACTGAAGGTATTCATACTTTCAACAACAGGGGACAGGCAAGAAATCTGTAGGACTGGCCATCCCATTCCTCGCCCCCTTGCTTCCTCACCTCTTTCCTATCCTACCTTTCTCTCACTTTCTAACTCTCTCACACACACTTTCTCTCTGGGGAGGAAGTGACAGTAGGAATGGCAGCGGTTCCTCCCCCACACACATACTTGCAGTGCTGCTGCTTCAACAATGATGACAGAGCTAGTGGCAGTAGTTGCTCCTCCTCCCCTGTCCAGAGCCTGTCTACAGAGTTGCATGAGTGGCAGCTCTGCGCAGATGCAGATAAATGTTTCCTGTTTTGAGGGTTTGTAGGAACCTCCCATTTAACATTCATATTCTTCTGCAAACTGGGGGTTCCCCCAATTTTGCAGGAAAATCTTCCTTCTGTCCAAATGGCCCCAATCCGTGCATTTAAGTATCTACTGATGGGGTCAAACTTAGTTATTAGAATATATGATGATAACTGGGGCACATCCTTTGCTTCTTGTTCCTAG